ATCCAAAATCTTGTAGCGCCATGTAGTGCAATTGAGCTCATCTGGAGGAAGTTTTGTCCATATATTCGGATGCTGTATGACAGTTTCTCTGGTGTGGTGATTCCTGTTCTCGTATGTAATGGAATGCACAATTTCAGGGAAGATTCTATGGTCATTGACGTTGGAGAACCGGCCGACTGGGTGAAGATCAATGTGCGCCAGACTGTAAGTTCAGCTTGTATTATTTTGTTAATAATACTGTGCAGAGTATTATGTGTATGTTTTGACTATAGCCTGTACCATGAAATGATTGTTTTCACAAGGTAGCTTTTCTAGTAAACTTCCACTGAGTTTTGAACTGAAGTTACACCGTTTGGTTATTGCTTCCCTGCAGAAAGATTGCTTTGAAGTCTATGCACTAGTTCCTGGACTTCTACGTGAGGAGGTGAGGAAGTATGGTGCCATTCATGTGGAGAGCCTAGCTTTAAATCTTTTCATTGGCCTAAAATAAATCCTTTCGGAGATAAATGGAAGATAAGCAAAAGGAATTTTCCTTGAAATGAGGCTATGCCATAGAGGAAATTGTTAATTTTTTTTTATTCTGATCTGATGGTAGCAGGTGCATGTTCAATCAGATCCTGCTGGACGTCTGGTTATCACAGGGGATCCAGAGCAGCCTGATAATCCTTGGGGGATCACTCCGTTCAAGAAGGTGGTAGCTTCACTTTGAACGCTAACACAAACACATTTGTGAACTCAGTTTAACATGTAGTGAATTTTTTGTGTCAGGTGGTCAACTTGCCATCAAGAATCGATCCTCACCAAACATCCGCTGTTGTCACGCTTCATGGTCAGCTATTCGTGCGTGCACCGTTTGGTCATCCTGATATGTAGATATGGAATCCTGTTTACTTCAGTTTTGTTGACTGCGGTGCCTCTTCACCAGTGATATTACTTGATATTACTAGGTCCGTGATTTGTGGCCTCTCAGGCATTCCTTGCCTCAAAATTTATCTTGTTTTCTTTGATTTCATGTATTTTGTTTATTGTGCAGGGTTTATGTCAGTTCTGTTGAGGAAATAGGATTTCATTTGAGCAGATACGTTCTGACTTAGCAGAACCGTTCTGTGGTTGGATGCTGTTTGCTGGTGTTGCGATCTGTTATCACTTTGTTTATTATTACAGTAGTGGTCATAAAATTAGCTGGTTCATGCATGTATTCCAGTTTCATGGTGAGATCTTATAGAAAAAGGAGATGTTGGTCGTAGTAGGGCTAATTTGACATTATGATTACTTATTATTCTTTATTATTTTTCTTCTGTATTATAAATGCCTCTCTGGGTCACTCCAGGGCACCCTAAAGTTGCATTTTTGTGCATAACGCCGGTTCGTCTGGTTTATGAAGTTAATTGCTGTCTCTATGTGATAGAAGTCTCAACTGTGTTTCAGTGGATCGTATTGCTTCAGTGCATAACGCCGGTTCCATTTGTTGCAGCGAAAGAAATTATTCTGATTTTGAATTCAATTGCTTGTTGAAAAGCTTATTTGTATGGCCATAGAGCATCATAACTAGGGCTTGTTAAATTTGGCTGTAAAGCCGCTGGTGATGATTTGTATGGCTGATTTTTTTAGAGAGAAAAATATTGTACCATAGCTTATAAGCGAGCGAATAAGCGTAAAGAGTAAATTACGAGACAAGAAAGCGTAAAGAGTAGCCGGCCACCCAGCGTGCCACGTCGTCTGCTTTTCGTGACCGTTCGATCGGCCGTGCGGATGGTCCAGATCGGGCGAGCCGCGGTCATTTTTCGAAAAAACCCTTCTTTTCCGGAAATCATCCCGCGCTTCAGAGTCCCTCTCAGGATATTTAGCAAAAAACACCTCAGATTATTTTGAAATCAACCCGCAGTCTAGAACGGATGGCCTCCGGGTTTTTTTTTGCAAAAAAACCTTATCTTTGTCGAAAATCAACCCGCACTCCACAGACCCTCTCATCATTTTTTGCGAAAACCTCCTCAGATTTTTCTCAAATCAATATACAGGCCAACTTTGATTATATCTTTTTTTTCTAAAAAAAACATGTGGCCAGTGGCCTGCGCGTATGGGCGCGTCCGAAGGACTAGTCTAAAGACAAGAAAGCGTAAAGAGTAGCCGGCCACCCAGCGTGCCACGTCGTCTGCTTTTCGTGGCCGTTCGATCGGCCGTCGCGGACGGCCCAGATCGGGCGAGCCGTGGTCATTTTTCAAAAAAACCCTTCTTTTTCCGGAAATCAACCCGTGCTCCAGAGTCTCTCTCAGGATATTTTGCAAAAAACACCTCAGATTATTTTGAAATCAACCCGCGGTCTAGAACGGATGGCTGCTGGGTTTTTTTTCCAAAAAAACCCTTATCTTTGTCGAAAATCAGCCCGCGCTCCACAAACCCTCTCATCATTTTTTGTGAAAACCTTCTCGGATTTTTCTCAAATCAACATACAGGCTAACTTTGATTATATCTTTTTTTTCAAAAAAAACGTGTGGCCAGTGGCCCGCGTGCAGGGGCACGCCCGAAGGACTAGTGTGTTTGTAGAAATGTGTGAGAAGAAAAGAGAAGGAACTAGACCATGTTACACTGGTGACCGCATACCAACGTGCAGGCAAACAAACAAGATCTCTGTGTCTAGACCGGCTCTGCTAGAAAATGGAACCAAACAAGCAGGGCCTTGTTTAGATTGCAAGTTTTTTCACTTTCTTTCTCCATCAAATCAAATCTTTGGACACATGCATGGAGTATTAAATATAGATAAAAAAATAACTAATTACACAGTTTGATTGCAAGTGAATAAGGTGGCTGATAAGACCAGCCAAAAGCTCCCGCTACCTGAGCCTTGTGCCTGTCATTTGTACGGCCATACACGGGCTTTCGAAGCCCAGGGTGCTCCTTTCAGAAAAGGAGTGTGGTTCCGCTGTTTGGCTCAATTTTTCGAATTACAGAAACATAAACAGTTGGGGCGTGTTTGTTTCCTTGACGTTGCCAGACTGGTTGATGAGGGCCAGGGTACCTGAGGACAGGCCCAGCAGATGTACACCTGCTTGTTTGGTTCCATTTTCTAGCAGAGCCGGTCTAGACACAGAGATCTTGTTTGTTTGCCTGCACGTTGGTATGCGGTCACCAGTGTAACATGATCTAGTTCCTTCTCTTTTCTTCTTTCACACATTTCTACAAACACACTAGTCCTTCGGGCGCGCCCCTGCGCGCGGGCCATTGGCCACACGTTTTTTTTTTGAAAAAAAAAGATATAATTAAAGTTGGCCTGTATGTTGATTTGAGAAAAATCCGAGGAGGGTTTCACAAAAAATGATGAGAGGGTTTGTGGAGCGCGGGCTGATTTTCGATAAAGATAAGGGTTTTTTTTGGAAAAAAAACCGACAACCATCCGTTCTAGACCGCGGGTTGATTTCAAAATAATCTGAGGTGTTTTTTGCAAAATATCATGAGAGGGGCTCTGGAGCGCGGGTTGATTTTCGGAAAAAGAAGGGTTTTTTTGAAAAATGACCGCTGCTCGCCCGATTTGGGCCGTCCGCGCGGCCGATCGAACGACCACGAAAAGCAGACGACGTGGCACGCTGGGTGGCCGGCTACTCTTTACGCTTTCTTGTCTTTAGACTAGTCCTTCGGGCGCGCCCATGCGCGCAGGCCACTGGCCACACATTTTTTTTGGAAAAAAAAGATATAATCAAAGTTGGCCTGTATGTTGATTTGAGAAAAATCCGATGAGATTTTCGCAAAAAATGATGAGAGGGTCTGTGGAGCGTGGGTTGATTTTCGACAAAGATAAGGTTTTTTTTACAAAAAAACCCGGAGGCCATCCGTTCTGGACTGCGGGTTGATTTCAAAATAATCTGAGGTGTTTTTTGTAAAATATCCTGAGAGAAGCGCGGGTTGATTTCCGAAAAAAAGGGTTTTCTAAAAAATAACCGCGGCTCGCCCGATCTGGACCGTCCGCGCGGCCGATCGAACGGCCACGAAAAGCAGATGACGTGGCACGCTGGGTGGCCGGCTACTCTTTACGCTTTCTTGTCTTTAGATTGGACGCACATGCCCGTTCATGGCTGCAACCATGCTGCTGTCTTCGTCGGCCGCAGCAGGCGCACAAGTAGGCAGCAGGCGCACCGTCGTCGAAGCTACTGTAGCGGCGGGGTTGTGCTCGGGCTTGTCCATGCCGCCGCGTCCGATCTTGGAGAATGACCCCGCCATGGACGCGTGGAGCAGGCCGCGGCCAAGTAGCACGCGCGGCCATCGCCGCCATGGCCGTCTCCTCTTGGGGGCTGCGTCCGGCTTCGGCGGCTTCACCATCCCGGCGGGCTCCCCCACCAAATCGAGCTACCCTCCACCGAATCGAGGTCCTCCACCATCCAAATCGCGGTAGGAGGAGGTGAGGGAGGGGGAGGGGGAGGGGGAGGATGGAGCTCGGTGCGCTGGTGCGAGGCCACGTCGGAGATGGTGTCCTTGGCCGCCGGTGACGGGGCGGGAGACGGAGGGAGAGCGGTCGGTGAGAGCAGCGCGGTGACGCGAACTACTGCGAGGGCCGGAGCCCAGGAAAAACGACCCCCCAGGAGATGTCGAGGCAAACAAACATGGTGGGATGCAGCTAGTGGGCCTCCGTCTGGTCCTCCTCTAGACAAACAAACACGCCCTTGTATTCTCTCCTAAAATATACCCGCCCGTTCCTCCGGAAAAAGCCCCGTCCACGTCGGCCCGATTTCTCTCTGCCGTCGGATCTACCATCGGGCCACGGTTTCTTCCACCGGATTCAGCGGGCAGCGGCTCCTCAGGTTTCTTTCGGTTCCACGTGTTCCATTTGGCTTCTCTTTAGGAGCTGCGACAGCAAATATATGGCCGGCTTCCGCTTCTTTCTTCCGGCTTCTTCCCCTTTTCCTACCTGCTCCTTCTCGTGAGGAATCACAGCAAACTACTGTCGTCAAACTGGAGATGGACGCCAACAGGACTGCAACATGTGTCTTGCCTACGAAATCTTAAATGTCTCAACTGGCCAAAGTGTGCGGATCCAAGAGCCTGAGCACGACGGGGAGCCCTTTCGACGGCTGCAGAGTCAGGAAGTCGGCCGGCGCGTGCACGTACTCCGGCGCCACCTCGAAGGCGAACCGCCGCAGGATGAGCGCCAGCGTGGCCTTGGCCTCCAGCATCGCGAAGTCCTGCCCGATGCACGACCGCTGGCCCAAGGAGAAGGACAGCAGCGCGTTCGGGTGCGCCGCCGCCCTGCCCACGCCGTCCCGGAACCGGAGCGGGTTGAAGTATCGCGATCGGGATCAGAAGGAGGGTGCCCTTTGGCACCTTCACGCCGCAGAGGTCCGCGTCCGCTGTCGGCTGCCTCGCGATCATCGGCACCGAGCCGTATAGCCGGAGCGTCTCGTACAGCACCATGGTCACCTGCGAAACAACATAAGAACATGGCCGTGACGCACGCTCGACGGCGGTCACCGTGCGGAACGGATATACACCTGCTAGCTAGCTCAATAAGCTTAAGGTGGAGGAGGCTCACGAGCTTGAGCTTGTTGAGGGCGTCGCCACGGAGGGGCACCTCGGCGCCGACGCACTCCCGGATCACCTCCTCCCTAAGCCGCTGCTGCCACTCGGGGTGCGTGCCGAGGAGGAACATGGCCCAGGTGAGGAGGTGCGAGGTCGTGTCGTGGCCGGCGAAGAAGAAGGTCTTGCACTCGTCGATGATCTCATCCATGCTCATGGCCTGCTGCTGCCTCTTGCCGTCGTCGCCGGCGGCGTTGGCCTCCAACATGAGGCCGAGCAGGTCGCTGCCGTAACCCCTCGCCTCCTTTGCAGCGTCGAGGCGCTCGCCGATGATGGCCATGAGCGTGCCCCGCACCGTGCGCTCGAGCTGCCACCGGCGCACGTTTGCCTTGGTGGGCACGTAATGCATGCCCGGAACGCACACGTTGTCGATGGACGCGAAGGCGATGAACTGGAGCTCCCGCTGCGCCAGGAACACCTCCTTCCCCTGCCGGTAGCTGCTGCCGAACGCCGTGTGCGAGATCACGTCGGCGGTCAGCTCCGTGAACTGCTGCCCCACCTCCACCGTCACTACCCCCTCCCCGCTCGCCGACGCCGCGGCGCGCGCTTCCTCACCCCGGATCACCTCCGCCATCGCCCCCGTCATCGACTTGAGCTTGTCCATGGCGAACGCCGGGTGCACGACGCGGCGATGGCGTGACCAGTCGTCGCCGTCGGTGAAGACGAGGCCCATGCCCATCAGGGACAGTATGGTGGGGCCCGGGTCCGTCTTGCCGTACAGCCCTGACTTGTCGAAGAGGACCCGCTTCACCATGTCGTAGCTGCCCACGAACAGCGCCGGAGTCGAGCTGGACCACGTCAGGAACACCTTGCCTGGACAGACATAGCCAACCGTGTGACACGACCACAGCGAAAACTTGTTAGAATTCAGAATTGATCTTGCCCGCTCGCGTACCGTAGAGCGACATCCACGCGCGGTACTGCGGCATCACGCGCGGGATGTAGTCGTGGGAGGTGAGGTCCAGCGTGTCGCCGCTCGTCGCCGCCCGCATCGCCTGAATCTCCTTGCTGTTGCCCACGAAGACACGGTACGGCGGCCCGCGGACGCCCTGCCGCCCGAACGCCCTCGCGACGGCGTACGGGCGCCACACCAGGTGGACCAGCACCGTCCACAGCCTCGTGACCACCACCACGGCGAGGGCGGCGGCAACCAGCGCTGCAGCTCCCGTGCCCATGTCGAGCAGCTAACAGGATACGAGAACTCGCGGTGCACCCACCCTGCGAAGCAAGCTGCAATCCGCACGGGATAGTACTGCTGTGATGCCGTCGTCGTACGTGTGTGTGCCAGTGTGATGCGTGTACTCCCTCCGTTCTAAAATATATGTTGTTTTCGCTTTTCAAGAAATAATTTTAATAAAATATATATTAAAAATATTAATATTTATGATATATAATTGATATAATTAGAAAGATTTTTAAATCTAGTTTTTTAATAAATTATTTGAAGATATAAATATTGTACGTATTTTCTATAAATCAAGTTAAATTTGTGACATGGAAATCAAAAGCGACATATAATTTGGGACCGAGGAGTATATGTATATATTGTGTGCAGAAGCTGATTCGCCATCCTAAAATACGGTGTCGATGTTGCGATTGCGACAGTTTCTCAGCGACGCGCTTGGAGCTTTCTCGTGGGTCACGGCGTCCGGCGATGTCGCCAGCGACCGGACGCTAAATACAAGGCAAGAGCTTTGTCTGACGAGGGAAGATGCGACGGCCTTGCGAATGGTCGGGGACAGACTTGAAGCGATCTCGCACGCCAGCAGCCGGCAGGGGCCTTTTGGCTTTTGGTGAGATCACGGATGACTCGGGTGAGCATCTGTCACTGGATAGCAACAAGTCAACAACGTACTTGCTTTCTGAAAGGCTGAAGCGTATACGTTTTTTTTCATACATCCTCAGCGGTGATATATGTTTTTTTAGTATATAGATTCTTCATACATCGCCAAGTGATCATCTTGTCTTGTGAACAAGGACTAGCAGCATGTTCGGGAGGCCGTATCGTATCGTGGATTATTTACTACTGTCTGGTTTGGTGTGAGAGAAAAACACTGTTCCCGGCTAGAAATTTACGATCGTTTACGAGCAAGCGAACAGGCTGAGGAGTCTCCCGGAATTATCTACCATTCAGATGTGATTACTACAGAATTGATAATCACCGCCGCCATTTTCACCGTCGGTTTGTATTACCAACCGTTAGTGAAATGATTCTTCATACATCGCCATGAGTGATCATCTTGTCTTATGAACAAGGACTAGAAGGCTCTCCGAATTATCTACCGTTCAGATGTGAAGGGATGAGATCCTCTTTGCCTAATTTATAAAGTTCTTATATAGAGATTGGGGCATGAGTATGTCTAGAGTATATCCTTTTTTAATGTCTTTGTTGTCTCCGGCTTTCCGATGGTAACATGATTACTATCTGACTTGATTGGGTAATGCATGAAATCAACATGTGGACTTGTGAAATAAAAGTTGGTAGACTGCTTCTTTTTCAATATTTGTATTGGAAATTTAGAATACAAATGGTTGCCTATCGTCCTGTTCGTTTGAGCTGGTTTGGTTGATAAACCATGGTTGAAAGTATTATTGGTTGATTTGATGTGAGAGAAAAATACTATTTATTGGCTGATAAGTCAATGGCTCCGAGGACATAATTCCATTTTACTGGTTGTCTGTCAGAGTCAGACCCAGCAAATTAAATCGAAAAATAAAAGCAATTACCTGAAGGACCAAGAAGCAAATCGATGCAGGTGGTACTAATATATATATACGTGCGCACACATTTTATGTTCGTTAGCACATGTCACCTCCGAAAGGCTTTAGTTTCACTCTAAAATGCCATTTTTTTCTAGATTTTTCGTCACATCGAATCTTTGGACACATGCATGAAGCATTAAATATAAATAAAAAATAAAACTAATTACACAGTTTAGACGAAATCCATAAGACGAATCTTTTAAGCTTAATTAGACTATGATTGAACATTAATTGTCAAATAACAGCGAAAACTGCTACAGTGTCGTTTTGCAAAAAAATTCGCCATCTAAACAGGTCCTTAGCATATGATGGCTCACACGCTCTAAACCTGCTTAGCATGTACTCCCTCCATTCCACGTTAAGACGTTTTGTTTTTTCTAGATTTATGACTTTTGTTATGCATTTAGTAGATATACAATATGTCTACATGTGTACTAAAAACAATGTATCTAGAAAAGCCAAAATTGAGGGAATATCTTTTTGGCACAACATTTTTGTATATCACAACGTTTTTGTATATAAACTTTTTTTTCTTAATATAATCCAAAGTTAAAGCTCCTCCTATTGAATTTTTAAAAATATGAGAGAGCATAGCAGCTCCCGTTGTCACCTATTAGAAGCTAATAAAGCCACGAAAACGTGATTTTCTCTATTTTCTTTTTAGAGATGCCCAAGCCAAGCTAAATAAGGCTTAAATTCATATATATATATATTTGAATCGACCAATTTTATTATCTCTCTAATATATAAGTTTGGCAAAGCTCAATCTGAATTCTGCAATGAATCAGTACCGTCTGAATTTGCTCCTAAGTCCTATGTGCGTCTTCTTTCTATATTTTCTGGTGGACGCGCCCACCGGGCCTAATGGGCTCGAAACCTCTCGTCTTATGTACCAGCACACCGGTCCAAAACCTAACAAGGCGCAATGCGGTACGACAAATCCGGTCGGCCCGCGACATATCGGGCCTGTTTGATTTCCTGTATCTAGGCCAGGTCCAAATGGTATAAGTGCCTGTGTTTGATTGCCATTTGCCCATTTCCTGCAGAGCCGAGCTCAGGTGAGAACGTGATTGATTGCCTAGACAAAAGAGTAGGATGACCCTGGACTTAAGAACATGGTAAGGTTACCCCCTGACATTGACATTGACATGTCATCGAACAGATGCCGGGCGTCGGCGTCCAAGACCTGCACATCGCCGCCGTTCCCCTTCTCCCGCGCCACTGCTGCGGCAGCGAACGTGATGGACGCCGTGGCATACGCCCAGCAGGCCAGGAGGAATAAGATGGGGAGGGAGAGGCGGAGGGAAGCGCGGGAGCCAGCCGCCGCGACCCAAGAACCAGCCCAAGCCGAGGGCAAAGGACGCGGCCGCCGGGGCGGTGCTTCGTCTCGCGGTCTGCTAGCATCGGCAGCAGCGGCACGAGGCGGGCGTCGTCGTGGAGTGCGAGCACCTGCGCGGCGCCGCCAACGTGGGGGACGCGCACGAAGAGGCGCGGGGGCACGGCCTTCTCCCTGGCCACGGCGCACAAGAGCAGCGCGCCGTTCATGTCATCACCGGCGACGGGGCCGCCCGTGAGCTCGGCATTCCTCACGATGGGGGAGCTGCCCGAGGGGAGAAGAAGGGCCTGCGGACCTGCTCGCGGCGGCTGCGCGCCGGACGTCGTGCGCCGCCTCGCCCTCGATCTCCCCGGCCTTCACCTCCTTCAGCCGCAGGATGCCCGCCATCGCGCGGTCTTCGTCGTTCGGCCTGCTCTGCTCGGCGGTGAAAGACAAGGGAGCGGTGGGTGAGAGACAAGGCAGTCGAAGGTGACGCGAACATGCGCCGTAGCCGGCCGGGCGCAAAAAAAAAAAAGACTGAAACTTAGGCTGGTCTGAAAGAAAAACACGATAAAAAAAAAGCCGAATAAATCGGACATGGAATAAGCCAAACATGACCTGAATCTCGTTTCGAAGGAGCCAGATGAAAGAGTGGATTTTGCACCCCAGGGGCCGAGCTCGCTGGTGGACCCAAGTAATCAAACACGCGTAGTTGCAGCCCATGGGCGCGGCCGAGCCTCCGGAGCCGAAATCAAACAGGCCCATCATCTATCGCCGGGAGCCCGGGAGCCCGGGAGCGGGAGGCAGGTCGGGACCGACCGAGACCACCGGAGTCCGGAGGTGAGAGCGGGGCGAGGCGAGAGCGCGAGAGCGCATCACACATTCGCATTGGCGTGGGCGAGGGGTTGCAGGCAGCGCTCGCCTCCGCCCTCTTGTATAAAAATCCTCTCACACCGCGCCCGCATCTCTCCCATCACAGTGCGACACCCTCACCCAACGAAACCAATCGGAAGCTAGGCCGGCGACGAGGTGTAGCGCTCGCCGCGATGGATTCCGACTACGGCGTGCCGCGCGAGCTTTCGGAGGTGCAGAAGAAGCGTGCGCTTTACCAGCCCGAGCTGCCCCCCTGCCTCCAGGTACGCACCTCCCATCACTCCTGCTACGTTCCGTGCGTGCGCCATTGCCCGCCTCCGGGTACAGATCTGCGGTCTCTCGGGTCAAGCGGCGCCAGATCCCGCATTGTCCTCCGGCCGGATCGGTTTGTTCCGTCGGCGCGGCGCTGATTTCTACGGTTCACCGTTCACCTACTCCCGATATGTTTAGGCCTTTTTTTTTTAATATGCATATATATCCACCTCAATTTATGTGGGCTAGATTGAAATAAAATGGAATTTAGTATAATTATACCTCAATTCACTTCGACACATGTAATTTAGTTTAATTATACCTCAATCCACTTCGACACGTGTAGATTGAGACGAATGATGCGCATCGGGCCTTACTCGGGATCAGGCCACAGTGCGTATCTCAGTATCAGCTGTCGCTTTCGTTACTGAGACTGGATCTGAGTTACGTCGCAAGTTGTTACACCCCCCGCCCCCCCCCCCCCCCCAAAAAAAAAAAAAAACGTCGCATGTGAACCGCGTCACTGTCCTGTACTTTAGATCGGTCTACATATCTGACTCGTGATTCATCTGTTTTGCAGTGGCTGGTTGCAATTGCAACTGGGAGTTAACTGACGAAATTATTCTGTAGCAATGATCATGGACCTATCTACCTGTACTCACGTGTCCTAAAATTGTAGTTGTTTAGAGGCTTAACACTTAGGATTCGGTAGTCGCTATCAAATCGACCTTCTCATGTCTGGAATCACTGTCGAACTCGTATGCATAGGTAGATTCTCAATAATTTCCCGCATCAAATCGACTTTTCTTGGGGGCACTTTTTAGCTGGTTCCTAGTAGACGGGAAGAATTGTCAATAGCTTTTCAGAACAGATTTCTTGTGTGTTTCTATTAGAGTTAGCTCAGTTCACACACTGAGGAATGGATTTATTGATTGTATGTAATTCAGGGCACTACTGTCAGGGTGGAGTATG